CAGGGATTTTTCGGCAGCTCTAGAGGCCTCCCACACACCTCCCAGAGCCTCCTGTAGGTTCCCTACACATTGCCACACTAAACCAGGCTTGTCCATGCACCCCAGGCTCTTCCCCACGCCCCTAAGGCATTGCAAAACGCACAGACATGAGCCCGCACATGCAGCACACACTCGCGGCTGACGTGGCGGTCACTGGTTGGTGGCTGTAGCGTCTCTGATGGTGCACGCCACACCAAATCTGTTCTCGCAGCTGCATGGGCGCTTCTATGCGCATGGACCACATTTAATCGAAGTCCTTTTTAATCATCTGGTTCAATGGTCCGGATCAGAGCACACATGGTGATTCATGTAGCCGCGCCGCACCAGATCACATACCTTCTTCCCTGGCAATAGTCGCCACCGGTGACTGGAAAAACACACTGGAACTTGCAGTATGCTTAAAAATGGCCAAATTTTTTTTTAAAAAAAATCTAGAAAAATTCTATAAAATTCCTAAAAATTATAGAAATCTAATTTAACCACTTTAAAGTCATAAATACAACAATTGGTCCCATAAAAATTTCAAATCACCTTTAACTCATTTAATTCTAAAGTCATCATAAAAATAAAATAATTAAACACCTAATACTAGCATGATTCTTGATCATAAAATTGCATAAGCATAGACGTGAATACTTTTATAAATTCAAAGGGGAAGAGAAAAGCCTTTGATTTTCGTATTGAAATTTCTCTAATTCCTACGATCCTCTCTGGTTCTCTCCTTCTTCACTCCCCAAACCAAGGTAAACACAGTATATATAAACCAACTCTCTCTCTCTCTCTCTTTATAAATACTCTTTCTCTTTCTAATAAATACCAGTCTATTTACTTATAGTCTTTCTCATGCAAGTCTTTGAAATGGACTATGTACTGTTGGGATTTATATGCCCTGGCATAGCAAATTCCTATCTGGATTATAGTGACATATGTTCCTGACGTTTCTGAAATATTTATGCTTTATACAATTGGTGAATTCAATGTATTATGTTTCAATTTATTATGGAATTGATAGTGTCAATTTGATTACAAAAGATATTTATATATGTATATGATAGCGATCAATACATGAATATAAATGGTAATCATAAATGGTTCATAGTCGGTAATTATGGATGGACTCATAATTAATTAAGACTTGAACTGGATCCGCGTTAAGTTGAGATATATTGCGAGAGCTGTCGTATGCAATTGCTACCTATCACCATCATGGCATTTGACTCTTAACAATGAGAAAAGTATAGACTCTTTTATTAATTAATAATTACTTTGATTTGTTTGGCGGATTCTTCGGGATCCTTAGACCGACACTTTGGGTAGTTTTGTAATTAATAGTTAGAGGGTTGTATTTTCAATATTTGCATCATTGCTACTTGTATTTATTTTATATTGATTATGGTTGATCACAAAGTAAATTCGAAGGCCTTCGTGTGTTTTTAGACAAAATGATTTATTATATATTTATTTATTTAAATTATTATTTTTGTCAAACAAATATTTTATTGTGATCGAGTCAGAAATAATCAATGGTACCAAAATAAATATATTAATTAAGTAGTCGAATTGATGGCTTTATTTATCCGATAACTAATTATGCATAGAGGGGTCAAAGTGCAATATTGACTTAGATGTTATTTATTATTTAATTGGAGTTCAATTAATTTCTTTTAGTGTAGTAGAAATTAATTTATGAATTAATTGAATTGGGTTCATGGACCTGGCCAATTATTAATTCATTATAGCCAATAAAATAATAAGCCCAAAGGAGTCTCACTCATAGCCCAACTTGATATTGGAATCCTATTAGATTTGAGACATGTGAATTAGAGATTGAGAATGATTTATTGTTTCCTTTTCTTTATCTTTATGTTGCCTATAAATATACATGGTCTATGTATATTGTAGGGGTGATTTTTGATGAGAAGGAAAAAGGAATATATTTTCTCTCTCTAGAAAATTAAGGTTTATGTTCTCATCTAATGGAGCCTCCCACAAGCCTAATTTTCCAGTGTCATTCATGGAGGCTTATGAGTGATTCCTAAAGGCAAAACAATTACCAAGAAGATGGAGATCCAAGGAGAAGGCATCTTGTTAAGGAATCTACAATAAGTGAAAATATTCACTTTAGAGGAAAGATTTAAAGATTTACTCAGACCTTTGATGTAAGTATTCAATCTGTTAATTAAATGATACATCATATTTTATTTTTGCATAAAATTTGTCTCTATGTGATGAATCAAGATCTATGAATTAAAATCCCTTGAAAAGTTTTTAAAACTAGCACGTTTCCCAACATGTACAACATACTAAAAGTCTTCCATCCATTAACTATGGGAGCAGATAATAACCAATTTGTCTTCTGATTTACCAACCCCAGCATAATATAGTCAAATGTAATTCAAAAGATGATTATTTTGCTGACAATACCTAGTGCTACAACAATCTCCCTTAAAGATACGAAACTTACTAAAATCAAATCATTAAATGTAGTTCCCAACCCATCAGCAAATACAAACTTAAAATTTTTTTTAAAAAATTCATATAACTAATTCTTAACATTAATTAATTTAAATGCACACAAATAACTAAATAACATTAAATAATTAAATACACAAAAGAATAATAATAATAATAATATATATATATATATAAACTAATTTAATCCAATTTAATCAAATAAAACTCATTTAATAATTTCCAACAAATTACGGGGTATTACAATTTTATAACAAGAATGAATTTCAGCGCAAACGCTGAAAATGGTAGAGAGCATAGTCATGTGACCCTGTAACTGGACTCTTCTTGTTAATGGGTAACTGAAGTAAGAATTTGCAGGTGGCTGTTCTTAAAAAGATGTCTTTGATCTAAATCTAGCTGAAAAGCTTTGTTCTTTGAGAATATCAATGAAATGGAATTTAGAAATTGTGTCTGCTGAGTTTGTAACTTTGAAAACAGCTCTCAAGAATTCAGAAAATTATAAAAGACAGTTATCTGAAAACAAGCATTTTTATAACTGGATTTTCAGAAAACTGAATCAAGCAGAGTTTTTTTGTACAGTTTTTAACAGAAAACTGAAAACAAAAAACTGTTCTAAGAGTTACAAACCAAGCACGTCCCAAGTCTCTTTACTTTCTTGATTTCCACTATGGTTGAAAACTGTCAATTTTTTTACGTTGTATCCGTAAGTTAATTCCATTATATTTAAACTTATGTCATATAAATTCATTGTTGGTGTGTGGTTGAAAGTCTCATATATATCTCTTCCCATCAAATTGTGAAGTTAGGATTAGGATATAGTTCCATATTTAAAAGGGTAGTTGCGGTATTTGAAAAATAATTCGTAATAATTTACTTATAAAGTTAAGATTTGAAGTATCATTTCCTTTAAAATTGGAGTGTAATTGTAGAATAGTGCAAATATCGTTTCCATATTTTTATATAGTGCAAATATAGTTTCCATATTTTTATATAATATAGTGTTTATTACTAGACCGATAACTTACTTTAATGTAATAAATGAAAATGAAAAACAAAAAACTTATTTTAAAGTAATAATATAATGAAATTGAATAATTAGACATATAATTTTAAAAGGACATAAATGTCTTTTAAAATTTTTAGTTTGGAGGATCCATGATAACACGGATTCAGAGTTATAGAGCATACCACAAACTTTTAATAATGAAAACTAATAATAAGAAAATACATGTGTGGAGGGAAAAATCTCCCTCCAATGAGAACTGTACACGTCATCGCAATATAAATACCCATTACAAATGTCAGAGGCCCATTCTGCTCAAAACCTAGTCCAAGCTCGTTGACAGCCCAAAATCATAAGACACTAGCCCAAGGTCACAGCTAATTGATCTCTATAGTATTGCTCAAGCCCGAAACAAGAGATCCAGCCCGTTAGCAATGTCATATGAATTAGGTTACTTATGGCCCAAATTCATTGAAATGAAATTAGTCCTATTAGAAGAAGGATACAGAAAAGAAAGAAACTACTACACAAGGAAAGTTATACAAAGGAAAGAGCTCTATTTGTAAAGAATTTCTGTAGGGAAAGAATTGGAGGACAAGCAATGCGAGTCCTACCATAATTCAACCAATCTTTTGTGTATAAATAGAGGCCCAAGCCTCTAATAAAAGGATGAAGCAATTCTACGGTTCTCTATACACCGTTTTTATCTATTTTTATTGCTTTTTGAATGAGTTGTTTTATTTTTCTCAATCATTATTGGTTGAGCAAAATTCTACACCTACACCTTGGCGCCGTCTGTGGGAAGCGTGTGCAAATATATTCCCACTCTTGTTTCAAGTGAATCCTGCTACTACCATCTGGAATGTCGAATAGAGGATCTTCAACAGATTAACAGACAGAGTTGATGCAGAAGATGCGTGAAGAGTTTCTACACCAGTTTGACGTACTTCGTCAAGCGAACGAAGCTAGCGTGGCTCAGATCGCCTTGCTTCAACAGCATAATAACACTCTACAAACGGCGATGGCTCAATTGGCACCACCGCCACCACTAGGTGATACGGCAGCACCCCCTAATCAGAATATTCCTCCAGTTAACGGGCCTCAACCTAATGGGGCACGACCCAATGAGGCTTAGCCAAACGAGGTTCAGCAACAGCAGAGGGCAAGGTCCGAGGCAGTTGCTGCAGACAACTTCCCTCGTCGCACGCAGGACGAACAAGTCGAGTCTAGTCGTAAGCTTGCGGTATGGTCCAATGGTATTCCCGATGGTGCTGGTGTTCAGGATGCCTTTGATGAGAAAAGACTCCTGAAGATTTAGACAACCGCTGAGATGGCCAGAGAGCACAAAAACTCTCTGGTGAAGACTCATTTCACTGACGATGTGTATATGGTGTAGAGGCTTAAGAAATTTACCATTTCTTTTTTTACTCAGTTTGACGGTACGAGAGATCCTTCTCGGCACCTGGATCATTACGCCCAAAAGATGGCTTTGGATGACCGTAATGATCCTTGGATATGTAAAGTTTTTCCTACCAGTTTGACAGGAGCTGCACTAGAGTGGTTCAGGAATAGGCTACATAAGTCCATCCTGGATTACGTAACTCTGTGCACCATGTTCCTAGTACAATACTGCAGAAATAAGAAGCAAAAGAAGAGTATTGCTAGCCTCTTCACCGTAAGGCAAAAGAAAGAGGAAACACTGCAGGATTTCAAATCTAGATTCAACATGGAAGCCTCAGAAATAACAGATTGTCATCCCGTGACTGTTATAGAAACATTCAAACTTGCAATGATTCAGGGGACGAAGTTTCATACTTCCTTGGTCAACTATTCTCCTCCTGACATGCAGACTCTCAATGTCAGGGCCCAGATCTACATCTGGCTGGAGGAAAATGTAGCCCACCGAGCGCAGCACACAACCCTTGTGACAGTGGAGAACAAGCCTCGGGAGAGAATTCCAAATTCAAAAATCCAGAAGAGCCAGCGCGCCTTAACGCCGATCACCCAGGCACTTGAGAAGAGGCAAATGATAGAGGAAGGGTTTACACCTCTCCGAACTACCTTGGCTCGGCTCTTCCAAGAGAATAAGATGAGGTTCACAGCCCCGCAGCCAATGAAACAATCCTTGGAGCAGAGGGATAAAACCAAGCATTGCGCTTACCATCGAGATTATGGGTATTCAACCAATGATTGCAGATCCCTTAGGCGACCAGTGAAAAATATGATAGCCAGAGGTTGTAATACCCCTAATTTTAAAAGAATATTTCTGGTATTTAATTTCTGATTTAATTATATTTTTATTTGATAAATTATTTAATTGTTTTATTTGTGGTGATTAAATTGAATTAATTAAGTTAATTGTGTAATTTGATTTATTTGAATTAATTACCCGTTTAATTACTATACTTATTTAATTGTTTTATTTAGTTAATGTAATATTTATTTATTTTTCTTTATGGTAACTTAGGGTAACAGTTATAACTTTGGTTTATAATTCACGTATTGGTGAGCCGCCGTAGGTTAGAACTGAGATAGTTTTATGGGCCGGTTAGAATTGGAATTAGGGCTTAGCCTCTAATTGTACATGGATTAGGGTTAGTGTTAATATACACCTATTAATATAAAGCAATACATGGTTTAGGGTTTTAGAAAAAATAAACGTAATTTCTATAAAAGAAGAGACCATGAGATACAGAGGGAAAACAGAGAGAGATAGGAGAGGTGGGATCAAGGAGGGAGGAACGTGGTTTGGTGGAACAGCAGTAGGGAGTTTAACAGATAATTCAAAGAACAGTGGTGTTGAGTTTCAAATCTGAAACTCAAAGGCAAGTCTCTGTTCTTCTCTTTCCATTTAATTCGTGTTCTGTGCATGCCTAGTTAGACTCCAGTGATTTAATTAAGGCTAAAACAGATTTAAACCAACATAATACCATGTCTTTTATGCATACATGAATTTTGTTTAAATCTCGTGAATTAACTGCTTTGAATTAACTTTGATGTTCTGCTATTTGTTTCTTCTGTGGTTAACGATTAAACTTGTTTTGGTTGAGATTAGTAATGCGATTAGATGCCTTGTAACTAATCTGGGACTGAGTTTGAACCCTAGAACAAGTTCTTAGAACAGTATTTAACTGCACGACATTAATCTAAATTAATCTGTTGTGAGTGCTTAAAATTTGCTAACGAGGATTTTATAATCGTTGCTTTAAAACTTGTGTTCCATACATGTTTTAATTGGATATCAGTGGTCTAAAATTTATTTAGGACTAAGATTGAACCTAGAATAAGATTTAGAACACATTACAGAGATTATGTAAATCACTGGAGTTGAAGAAAACGAAGCGAAAAGGGACAAGGCTGCTAAGAGGAGGGAGAGAAGGCTCCCAACCTTCTTAGAGCCGGCTCCCAAAGGGGAGAGTCGGCTCTTGGTGTCTTGGAGCCAGCTCCAAAAGCCTAGAGCTGACTCTAGGTAGAAAAATAGAGCAGGTTTCCATTTTAAGAGCCTGCTCTCTTTTGAAAACACTGTAACGTGGTTTTTTTTTAAGGACTGTTTGGTTTTCTAGGTTTATGCACTTGATTTAAATTATTTTAAATAATGTGTGGGACTGAATAAGGTTAGAATTATGATGAAAAAATATAAATTCACAATTGGATTGAGGAATAGAACAAGCAAAACCCAAGAGGAAATTTGTAGCTTGCATACTGTTATGCTAATTTTATTTACTGGAATTTGGCAAGAGTTTTATATATAATCTAATTATATATAATCATATATATTTCCAGTGTTATAGGTATGGTGAATTAATTAAAATCAACTATACTTAGTATAGACTTAATTGGTACTTCAATTGTATAAAATTGTATCAATTCATGGATCTTGTTGGAGAATGTAAATGGTTGCATATGTTATAGCAGTTTACAACATTGGATATGATTTTAGGCCTTGTATTGAATGCCTACTATTTATGTATATGGATTAATTTATCTTGTGCATATTTTGGAGTATGGTTGATGACTATTTAATACTGTATTGTCAACTATGTTAACCGGAGGATTGTATGTACCAGTATGGGACGGTGACATACTAGGTATGAACTTGTTCAAACACTAAGTTCTACTTAACATGGATTAAGGTATGGATTAATCATATAGGTTAAGTCCATCACCTACTTATGTCATGTCAATCAAATAATTGAATGACCTACTGTGGTTTCAGGATGGAGTTGTTATACATGTATCAGACCACTATACAAATGGATGATATTTTGTATTAGGAGTACGGACTTTATATATTTATTATATGGGGCCATGGTATGAGCTTGAGTCTCAGGACCATGGTTAGGGTGCATATATTGCCTAGGATGGATAGCTGGACAGTAATTGCTGTTCCCTGGTAGGTCTAAGTACACATGACTACGTAATGTGCGATTTGCATGGTATCTCTACTCAGGCTAAGACATACCTACTGGACTAGTGAGTGTCCTATAGTGTGTAATATATACCTATATGGACTACTTTAGATATTGTTGAGTCTACCTAGGATGTATCTGCGTATCGGATTCCTGTTTGGATCGTAGTAGATCAGGACTTGCATGTGGGCCTGACCCACTCTTTTATTTTTCAGGTGCTCGTCAGTTCCAAGGTTAGAGCTTGGTCGTGCAGAGCAGATGCAGACTTCTATTCCACCGACTATGTAGGATTGCTTACTAATTAGCTTTGGATCTTATTTCTGTTATTCCATTTACAGTTGGGATTTTTATTAGGGGTCCACTAGAGGGATTCCCGAGTTGTTAATTGATTGGAGGTTTTGGAGGTTGGATTTTAATGGGAATTTTTCATTAGAATTCAATTCAGTTATTTTTATTTACTTCTTATTATTTCATCTTGTATTCTGTGTTCATTAAAATATTAATTGTTTGATATTTCTCTTAGGTTTGGGCCTGGGCCTGATCAACCCGTATCTCGGATCCGAGGGGTATCACAGAGGTGAGTTGGCAGATTACCTCATTACGAAGGAGTATGTGAAGCCCCGCGAGGTCTATCCTCGCAAGGTAGAAGGTAATCAAGTAAAGGTCATTCATGCAATACATGGCAGATCTGAAGATGATCAAGAGTCTGAGGAGGTATATAGATCCAGATTGAGGGCAGCCCATAAGCTCAGGAAGTTATCCTCGGTCAATGCTATCGCTTCGGGTAGCATCAGTATTGGATTCGGCGATGGCAATTTATCCAGAGTTCAACTTCCCCACGAGGATCCATTAGTCATCAGTCTCTTAGTGGCGAATTGCATGATCAAGAGGGTTTTAATAGACCCAGGGAGTAGTGCCAACATCATCACAAATGCGGTCTTTGAGCAGTTAGAGATCCCGTCATCATCAATTCGACCTACCTCTAGCCCATTGATGGGGTTCGATGGCACAAGAGTAGATCCCCTTAGGGTAATAGACTTATCCGTAACTGCGGCGAAAATGACTCTGAAGGAGAACTTTGTCTTAACAGAGATCCACAATTCCTATAATCTCATCATGGGAAGAGGCTGAATACACCGAATGAAAGGAGTTCCGTCCACCCTTCATCAAGTGATGCGGTGCTTATCTCCGGATGGAAAAAAAGTTATTAATCTATGGGGCGATCAAGTCGCTGTGAAAGAATGTTATATGCTGATACAGGCTGAAGCAAAGAAGGTGTCTAAATAGCCTCAACTAGGCGTGACTCCCAGAAGCATACCCAAATAGCAATTACATAGCCCTCTGCCCAAGTATCTTAAGGTAGAGGAGGAAGAAAGAGTTGCGAAGCCTACCGAGGAGATCCTCGGAGCCATAGAAGTTATCCTTGGCGACCCCCAGAAGGTCATTTATTTAGGTTCTTCTTCCACATCCGAAGAAAATGAAGCATTAATTGATGTCATTCGGAGCAATGCAGATGCTTTTGCCTGGGATCATTCGGACATGGTAGGGATCGACCCTTTAGTCTCCTGCCATAGCTTGAAAGTGGATCCGGAGTTCAAACCAGTTAAGCAGAAACACCGAAGGTTTGCCCCTGAACGCAATCACATTGTAGCTGAAGAAGTGAACAAGCTGTTGCAAACAGGTTTTATCCGAGAGGTGCAATATCCACAATAGTTATCAAACGTGGTGGTCGTCCAAAAGAAGAATGGAAAGTGGAGGGTTTACATAGACTATACCAACCTTAACAAAGCTTGCCGTAAAGATAGTTTCCCTCTGCCAAAGATAGATCAGATGGTTGATGCTACTACTGGTTACGAGAGGCTTACATTCCTCGATGCGTACTCAGGATATAATTAGATTCCTATGAATCCTGAAGATGAAGAAAAAGCTGTTTTCATTACAGAAAAGGGTACTTATTGTTACAGAGTCATGCCCTTTGGGCTGAAGAATGCTGGGGCCACTTATCAACGCCTTGTTAACAAGATCTTCGACAATTTGTTAGGAAAGACGGTTGAAGCATACATAGATGATATGGTGGTTAAAAGTGTGAAGAAGGAAAACCATCCGAAGCACCTCCAGGAAGTCTTCAATACTCTGAAGAAGTACAACATGAAGCTGAATCCGACCAAGTGTTCCGTCGCAGTATCATCAAGTCAATTCCTCGGCCATATTATGAATAAAAGGGGGATAGAGGTGTAATACCCCTAATTTCAAAAGGATAGTCCTGGTATTTATTATATTGTTTACATTGCATTTATTTTTTTTTAATTGTTTATTTGTTTATTTATTTAATTGCTGTTATTTGTTTTATTTATTTAACTGGCGGTTTGCTTATATTTGCATAAATTGTATTGAATTAATTATTAGATAATTATTTAACTGATGTAATTTAGTTGTTTTAATTGAATTAAGTTAATTATATTTAAATTGTTTTAACGTGACTGTATGGAGGCACATATATATTTATATTAGGGTTTATTTGCATGGATGTAGCCGACTTAGGGTTGGTTTTGTAGTAGAATTAGGGTTGTGCTAAAGCCTATAAATACAGTATTATACGTTGGTTTAGGGTTACACAGAAAAACCCTATTCACTGATACGTATACCGTGAGACAGAGAGATACAGAGAGTGAAAACTGGTAAGGTGGACGGAGAGGTTCAAGGATACACTGGACGGAGTGCTTCTGGATTGAATCAAGAGCACTTGAGATTTAGAACAGGAGTCTCGAACGTGGACAGAAGCTTCAGAGATAGTGGTTTAGAGTTTCAAAACTGAAACTCAAGGCAAGTCTTGTTCTTTTCTATCTCTTTAATCTGTGTTCTGTGCATGTTTAGGAAGACTCTAGGGATTAAACTAAGGCTTAATTATAACCTTTATGCATATTTAATCAATGTTTAAATTCATGGAATTAAACCTGTTCTTGGTTGTTTCAAAAAGATAGTAATAAAACTGTAACTTTGTAACCTTGCTCCGTTGTGTAGTAATTTGTTTTAAATTCAAGTTTTGATTGTATATCATTGTTTATTATTAATCTGGAACTGGATTAGACCTTAAAACATGTATTAAAAGCTACTATAGAGAACTGGTACTCACAAGAATCGGAGAAGACGACGAAATGGACGGAGACTGCTAAGGGGAAAAGAGAGCAGGCTCTTAAAATCCCTTAGAGTCGGCTCCTAGAAGGTGGAGCTGGCTCTTGGATGTTGTGGAGCTAGCTCTAAAGAGCGTAGAGCCGGCTCTGAAGAAAAGAATAGTAGGCTCTTTAATTTCTAGAGCCTGCTCTCTCTTAAAATGTCCAGAAACTGATTTTTACTGAAATTGAATTTTCTGGAACTGTTTAAAGCTACTGAATGTTGTAATTAAGTGTTTGAGACTTATAATAATGTTAAGAAGCAAGCTCACATTCAGTTATTGAGGATGGGAATTAATCCAAGATCAAATAGAGGACTCGTAGGTGGATAACTGAATATTTAACTTAAATTGCTTACTGCTTTAGCAATTGGTTTTTCTGCATGATATTGAATTATGAATCACGTTTTCAGCTGTGTTAAGAGCATATAACTGTTTAAATATATGTGTTCTTAAATGGAATTAAACTTGTTTAAAATTTCGGTACATTGCATTAGTTATGGTGCTGTTTGGAAGAGTTGGTTGTGTAGCCTAAGTTTATCAGATTCAAGGACTGGTACCTGTATTTTAAATCTGCTGGTGGATGCATAATTTTGTTAAACGCATGTTAAACTATATTTGTGCTTATTTTGGAATAAGTAAATAGTGAGTTTATATTAAACTGCATCAAGTTAAGTTTAATTTGAGGAAACTAAATTAATAGTCTTATTTCAGTAATATAAGAACTGTATTGTGATATCTAAATTTTAAATTCGTTGCATAATTGGGTTATACATATAATGGATTGTATTTATGCTTATTTTAGAGTATGGTTGATGGTTATTTGCTATTGACTTATCAACTATATTGGATGGAGGGTGGTATGCACCGGTATGGGACGGTGGCATACTAGGTCGGTATTAGTTCAAACACTATAACTTACCTATACTGGATTGAGGGGTGGATTTACCGTAAGGGTTCAATCCTACTCATATATGTCATATCAACAATGAATTGAATGACTTACTTTGGATTGTGGATGGATTGTTATACATTTATCAGACCACTGCTACAGATGGATGATATTTTGTATTAGAAGGAGTACGGACTTTATATATTTATTATATGTGCTATGGTATGAGCTTGAGTCTTATGACCATGGTTAGGGCGCGTATATCGCCTAGGACGGATAACTGGACATAGGTGTTGTTCCCTGATAGGTCTAGGTACTCATGCCCACCTCAAGGTGCGTATTTGCATGTTGCCTTCTATTCAGGCTGAGACAGACCTACTGGACTAGCGATCATCCTATAGTGTGTACTATATATATATATGGATTACTCTAGATATTATTGAGTCTTCTTAGGATGTATCTGCGTATCGGATTACTGTTTGGATTGTAGTAGATCAGGACTTGCATGTGGGCCTGACCCACTCCTTTATTTTTCAGGTGTTCGTCAGTTCCAAGGTTAGAGCTTGGACGTGCAGAGCAGATACAGATATTCATTCCTCCAATTATGTAGGAATCTTCTCTATGTTAGCTTTGGATTTTATTTCTATTATTTCAGTTTTGGTTTGAGAATTTTAATAAGGGGTCCAATGGATGGATTCCCGAGTTGTAAACTTATGGAGTTTTGGATTATCGGATTTGGTTAATTAGGATACAAGGATTTCCTTTTAGTTTCTTTCAGCTTATTATATTATTTCATATTTCACTTTGTATTCCGTGTTCAATTACATATTGATTGTTTGATATTTCCCTCGGGTTTAGACCTGGGCCTGATCAACCCGTGTCTCGGATCCGAGGGGTATCACAAGAGGTAAGTCCGGCTTAGGCTAATGCCCTCATGCAGAATTAAGAACCAAAAACTCGCAGGGAGGTGCAAGTTTTAACCGGTCGGATCGCAGTTCTCAGCCGGTTTATATCTCGATTATCAGATAAGTGCAAACCGTTCTTCGATGCCATGAAATCTAAGGATAAGGAAATATGGGGACCTCAGCAGCAGGTATCCTTCAATCAGTTGAAACATTATATGGCCGAACCTCCAATTCTATCCGCTCCAAAACCTAGAGAAGTTCTTATTATGTATTTAGCAATTTCTAGCATAGCGACAAGTGCAGTGTTAATTAGAGAGGAAGGAAAGAATCAATACCTAGTCTTCTACACAAGTAAGATAATGACAGATGCAGAGACACGGTATAGCAAAGTAGAGAAAATCATCCAAGCCTTGGTTTTTGCAAAGAAGAAGCTTCGGCATTATTTTGAATCTCATAGCATTGTGGTACTCACCAACTACCGTATACGGGGTATATTTTCTAAGCCGAATTTAACTGAAAGAATTACCAAATGGGCCATCGAGCTCAGTTCCTTCGACATAAACTATGAGCCGAAGGTGTCACACAAGGGATAAGCCTTAGCAGATTTTCTCCTAGAATACGAGGACACTCCCGAAGAACCAAAATTCCCTGAACCACAATGGGAGCTTCAGGTTAATGGTTCCTTGAACCAAACAAGTGCAGGAGTTGGGGTTGTTATATCAACACCCAAAGGCACCAAATTACAACAGTCAATTTGTCTGAATTTCCCTGCTACTAACAATGAGGCCAAATATGAGGCATTACTTGCTGGTCTTCGATTGGCCAACAGCCTTTAGGTACGATGTTTAAAAGTTTTTAGTGACACACAACTTGTTATAAATCAAGTGACAGGTCAATATCATCCCAAAGAAGAAAGGATGAAAGCATACAAAGAAGTTGTGGAGAATGTTACACGAGGATTCGATCAAATCGAATTCTACCAGGTACTTCGTGTTGAGAATGCTGTAGCAGATCAATTGGACACAGCAGCGTCATCTTCAAATGAAGATCTGACTCGGATTGTGCCAATTGACATCCTGTATGAACCTAGCATCAACCATCGGCAAGAGGTAATGGTGATTCCAGTCATTCCGCGAGAGCCATGCTGGATTGATCCATTGGAAGC